CCCTGCTCGCCCGGGAGCCCCGGGGGCCACCAGGCCCCGGCTCCGAGCCGCCCCACCCGGGCGCGGCCCCCCGCAGCTCCCGCGGCAGAGGAAACAACAACAAAAGGGGAGCACCCGCCGCCGCCGCGCCCCCTCCTCGGCCAGGGCCCCGCACCGGAGCGGCCGGGTTACGGGAAGCGAAGTGGGCAAAAAAGCCAACGCCTGCACCAACGCCGGCCCAAGCTGCTCACACACCCACACCCGCGCGCGCACACTTGCACACAAGCGGAAAAAGTTCCTAGCTGCGCCGAAGAGGAAGGGAAGCCCTGGGGAAGCGGGCGGAGGCGGCTGCCGCCCCTTCGGCCGCCGCCACCGCTCCTTCACCACCCCAGTTCCGGCCACCCCCACCGCAGCCACCGCCGGTGCCGCTGCCGGGGCTGGGGCCACTGCTGCCGCTGCATCCTCCACCGGGCTGGGGCCGGGAGGGGTGGGAGCAGAAGAGGGAGGGGCGGCTGGCAGGGAGGCGACTGCGCCGCTCTACCTGGAGCGCTCAGTGAAACCGGAGAGAGAAAGGAGGGCGGAGCCGGCGGGGAGGGGCGGGGGAAGGAAGGGAGGCGGAGGGCGGAGCCGCTCCTGCGCATGCGCTCCCCGCGCGGGGGCGGAGCCGTGCCCCGAGCCGAGCCCGGATCCTGGGAAGGAAGCTGCAGTGCGCGTGCGCGTCTCGCTCACCGGCCTGGGCGCGTGGCGGCGCCGCGGCTCCTGCGCAGCGTCGTGTGAGGGACGCGATCTGGAAGACGCACTTCCGAGCGCGCGCCCAGGAGTGGAGACGACGGAAAGGAAGGTGCCCCAAGCTGGTTCCCTGCTTACCGAGGACTGGGAAGTACGGCCTCAGCTGGCGGCGGCGCAGAGACCCCGGAGCGCCGCGCATCTTGCAACCTTGCCACACGCCAGCACCCGCCCTGTGCAGCTGCACGCTAAAGAATGAAGAACTCGGTCCGGGGAGAGAAGACGACGTAATGGATAAAGGAGCCGTGCGGAAGGTGTGCCCATAGTACTTGTGGAGTCCTGGTGATTTCTGCCTGTGGATGCTTCTCGTCGGCCTCCCCACACGCTCTTGGCCAGCCGGGTGCCACGGAACGCCAGACTGTGCCTTTGGCCTGGCTTGTGCGCAGAAGACTGCAGGACAGGGCCCAGGGCGCACGCCGCGGTCAGCGAACAGGCCTCCTGCAAGTCAGAACTCAGGAAGGTCCCCATTGCCGGTGACCTGCAGTTTCCAAAATTACCAGTACACTCAGATCTCACCCTTACTATAGCCAAGGACTGGGGATTCTTGTCATATATATAATTATAGCTGTTGCTTATAATTAAAGTTGTCCCTTAGTATCCTCGGGGATACCATTCAGGACCTGCGTGGGTGCTGAAATCTGAGAATGATCAAGTCCCGTATATAAAGTGGCGTAGTCTTGCCTATAACCTACCCACATCTTGTCATACACATGAAGTCATCTGTAGATTACTTGTAATACTTAATGTACATAGCTGTCAAACTTTTGCTCAAGGAATCACAAGGAAAAAGTTTGTATCTATCCAGTACATACGCAAATTTTCCGAAAGTTTTCCACAGAAAATTAATTCATTCCATGGACGCACCACCCCAGTGTTAAACGGCAGATATTGTACATGTATTCATATAAATGGAGTAATTACCATTGTGTGAAATCACAGTACTAGTGATTTGTCCCTGGGGATTCTTATATTGCGCTTTTCTTTTTCCATACTGAATACCATTAACTACTGATCTTCGAGGTCATTGTTTTCCCTGCTGAGGATGATCAAACCCACATAAAAGCACGTTGGGGATGGCAGAGCGCTGAAGTTGAAACCCAGAAAAAAGGAGAAAATTTCATTGATGACCCTCAAACTTGATTAAGGAATAGCACTTGCCTGTTACACAGGGTATCAACTGGGAGAGTGAAAAGTGAGTTATTTGCAAGAGCTGGGATTTAAGAATTCCAATTAATAAACTCAGACCAGCAATATCCTAGGAACTTGTAAGAAATGTGGGTTCTCAGTCCTAGATCAGAAATTGTGCAGCAATCTATGTTTTAACAAGCCTTCCCAGTGACTATACATCAATTTGGGAGCCACTATATTCGATTATAATCAAGAAGGAGATACGCAGTACCTTAAAGATGCTTAAAGAACAGATGTCCTTCATGAGGATGGATAGGCTAAGAGACGTGGAGGGAGTTGCTAAGCTTTGTGCTATTCTACAAAACAGTTTAGGAAATGAGAAAGAGCAGAATAAAGTACTTTGATAATCCTTAAGGTAATAATAATGGGGGGCTGGGGATTTAGCTCAGCGGCAAAAGTACCTGCCTGGCAAGTGCAAGGTCATGAGTTCGATTCCCAGTACCAGAGGGGGGAAAAAAAAAAAAGATAATAATAATGTACTGCTTCATATGGCGGCCTAAGGACAATTTTTTCTGAGTTATGAGATCATCAAAGTACCTACTGTGCAGCCCCAAGTACAACATCCCCTCAAAATTTTCACATAGCTGATGCTTTGCCACCTATAGTGTGTTAGCATGCCAGTCTTCGACGGTCCTGTCCTCACCACCATCAATTCTGGAATACGTGGCTGTGAAATGAAAAGTTATTACCAGCTCTTGGTTATTTTTCAGTCATCTTCTCTAATTGCTCAAACACCATCTACCTGAGAGCCCTGGTCAAGTCAACCTAGATTTAACTTTTCTTTGAAAAAATTTTAGCCTTTAAAGGTCAATATTTAGTATAGTCTAATATCTATTATACAATGAATTATTTTGTTTTCTAGTTACTTTAGGTGTGTGTGTCTACAAAACTTTTAGTTTATGTAGCTACAAAAATTATGACCTGTGGTCTATATTTTTATCTAGCCTAGTTCTAGATATTCTTGACACATAGCCTTGAATAGGCCTTTACCTTAAAAAGAAGAAAAGCACTGGATTACGTCAGTTCACATCCTCAGAAATCAATTTCAAATCACATTGTCCATTGTAAATCAACCTAGTAAAGCTCATATTTAATGCTCAATTTGATACAGTCCTCATATAAAGAGGTTACCACATATTTTTATGAGGTATTTTCAAACATTTTATATATTTCTATTATAGTAATTATCTTAGTTACTTTCTTCATTACTGGGAAAAAGTACCTGATACCCACAAATTAAGAAAGGAGAGGTTTACCTTAGCTCACAGTTTGTAGATGTTTGTCAAGGTACTCCAATGCTGGGCAACCTGGTAGCAGAGTATGGGAGACAAAACCGGCTCATGGCATGCAGCAGGAAGCAGTGTGTGATCAGAGAGGAACCCAGAGATATATCCTTTCAGGCCACACCCCCAGTGACCCACCCCCTCCAACCCGGGCTTCATCTCCCAGCATCACCTTGACCTATAAATCCATCCATGCACCAGTCTGGGCCCTCCCACCTCAGTTGGCCCCAAGGTCCTCCTGGCTCATCAGAGAGGCTGACAAAGAAGATGTGATCAAGGAGGAGAATAAAATAAGGGGGGAGATACACCTTTTCTGTGGTCACACTGCAGTGACACATGCATTCAGCCTTCAGGGTATCTGATTTCTCCTGGAATCCCCAAGAGCCTTGGGTGATTCCTTCTGTATCAGAAGACAGTATCATGCAAGTGCAGTACATGGTTAGGACATTTATAAGGATAAAGACACTAAAGGAAGCATGGATCCAAAAAGACAAGAATCCTAGATATATCTGCACTTGTGATTTTAGATTCCCATGCTTTCCCTCTCAGCCCTGAGACTGATTCAATGTTGGTTTTGAGACAAACTGACTTTGTTCAGCTGTCCCTCCATAGTAGGTATCACCAATAATAGTACTGGCCCCCAAAGTGGGCATTTTCTAAATATTAACTACAGTACTTAATTCAGTAAAGCTATAGACTTACATTTAAATTTTTCTCATGAATTTTCTATTAACAAACCCAGGTATATAGTAGCCACTGAGAGGGAAATATAATGTGTGATTATCTTTTTTAAGCATATTCCCAAGTTTTTCAGAATTCTTTCAGTAAAGGGTAGAGTAAGTACGGAATAGAGCTAAATGAGGTAAGTGTCTGGAGCCGCAAAGTATAAGTGCTGTATATAAGTGCTGTATAAGCCGCGAAGTATAAGTGAGTATAAGATGTCATTTTTATTCAGGAACTGGAGGGAGAATCAAGTCACAGATGCCTATGCTAAATCTCCCTCCCCAAAGGCACATTTTCCCATGTAGACCACTCTCTTCTTGGTTTCTTCCATTAAATCAAAGCTACATATTTCTTCTTCCCCATATATTTTCCCTTGCTAGTGTATTTCTTGAGCTGCTTTCATATTATTCCTTCTGTGAGATGGTTTTTTTTTTTTTTTAAACTTGGGACCACCAAATTGTAAAAATGTTTTTACCTGACAGGTGTGCCTTAGATACACTGTCAAGCTGAGAAGGGGGATTTGATACCTTATATTTGTTGTTAAAATTAAATCAATCCTTGATAAGAGTTTGGGTTTTTAGGAGTTAGTCTTTTACCACCCATTTTGGGTGACCTGTGTCACCTGCAGTCCTGTTACTCCCCATAACTATGCAAGTGCTTAAATGGAATGAATGGCTTTTGTACATTAAAAAATTTTGTCAGT